CCGCTTTCATGCTCTCTGCCCCATGACACCCCATGGGGCCGTGGAAATCCCGTGGGCTGTGCTCCTTCCCTGTTTTTTTCCAGTCCCCACCTAAGGAGACGGCCGCAGCGTCTGTCCCCCTGCAGCAAAGTCATTTATTAACTGATTAATTAGCCAGATAAAATCCAACTGAAGCAATTATTAGCCTAAGCTAGTCACCTCGCCTGGAGATTGAAAACTGAAATAATTAGCAAAATAGCTGTGTTGCTCATCAGGTGTTATTTTCGGCTGATCCCTGCTCCTTGCTGGCAGCCTGCGCCGCCCTGGCACGGGGAGGGCTGGGAGGGGGCACATGGGGCTGTGGGATGCCAAACCCAGGGATGGCTCCTGGGCCCTCCCGGATTGTCACGCAGCTGGGAAAGAGCCAGCAGCCAGACAGGATGGGGAAAGTCACCCTGGGATCGCCTGGCTGCCGGCTGGCAGGGGTTGGGAGAGACTGGGCTGGGGCTGGAGGTTGAGCCCAGGCAGCTCGTCAGGATGCTTCCATTTGGGATGCCCCTTGCATCCCAGGGTTGCCTCTTTGCTCTCTGGGATGCTGCCTGGCTTTTGGGGGCTTGTTGGAGCCATCGGCACCAAGAGAGGTCCCTTAGCACCCAGGCAGGGAGCCGGGGAGCAGGGCAAAGCCTGCCGGAAGGGGTCCCCAAGCCAGACGCCTGATGGGGTGCTGGGAAAGAAATCCTCGTGCTCTGCCTACGCCGTGGAGCTGGGCCAAGAGTCCTCCCACGCCGCGTCCCACCGGGCTGCTTTCTCCGGCTGTTGAATCCATAACTTCAGGCCCCGGGACATGGCTGAGGGCCAAGGCCAGGGTAATGGAGCCAAACTGCGTCACAAAGGGAGGAAAAGGTCCTGAAGTGCCGGGATGAAAAGGTGACTGGGGTACTTGCTGTCCCCTGCCGACACGGCTGCCTTCCACTGTTATCGTGGTCAGGGGGCGGTGGTGGGGAGAAGATGCTGTGGTCTCACTGAGCCACTCTGCCTCCCAGCCTGGGTGGGAGAAGAGGGGCACAGTGGGGGGACATGGCTCCCATGGGGATGGTGGGCACTGCCCGGGTGTTGGGGGCAAGGAGCTCTGACAAGCTCCTGACACAGCCCATGCTCTCTGTGCCCACCGTCCTTGAGAATGCTGGCCACCAACTTCACCCCACAGCTGCTTACCTGCCACGGACCCCTGACCAGAGGGTCCTTGGGAGGTCAGATCCAGGTCCTGCTGCTTTCCCAGCCTGTAAATCATTTCTCAGCCTCTTCGCCATAACCCGCTCCCATCTATCAGCATTGTCCAAAGGAGCAGACCCTGTGCCCAGCAGGACTGTCACCTTTGGAGGGCCCAGCAGCATCACAGAGTGTGTGTCTTGGGTCCTTTGTGGCTCAGGTGTCCGTTCCAATGTCTCCCTCCCCTTCACCCCATGGGTGGCTATAGCCCGTGTTGCAACACACCTGGCTTGCCAAGTCATCCAGAACCTGCAGGGTTGATGGATAACCTGTTCCCCCCCCGCCACCACTGAGCCCTCTCCAAATGCCCTTGCCAGGAGGCCAGAGCAGTGCTGGTAGGAGATGCTGGGATCTCCGCAGGGCTGGAACAACCAGCCCATTAATTCCAGGAAGGCTGATAAGGCACTGTGCTGGGCAGTGCTGGGCCATGCTGTACCATGCCGGATGGCGCAGAGTCCCTGGGTGCTGGGATTCACAGCATTGCCCCCAAGCTTGGGCTTCCTGAGGGGCTCAGGTGCCTATATAATGCTTTGGTCCTTGATAACTGCAGATGACAGTTATCCTTGGAGGAGCTGGCAGCTGCCAAACTGGCAGCTTGGTTTCAGGTGTAGCAGAAGGATCAACGAAAAGCCCCTTCCCAGGGTGGGAACAGGGCACCATCTTCAAGATGAGGGATGACCCATGGTGGCTGCAGGCTTTTCTGGGAGGGTGTGCCAATGCCAAAGCAGAGGGATGAGCTCGGTTTGTCACCCCTGTGACTCTGCTGGAGGAGCAGGGAGATGGGGCTTTTTGGGGACAGCATGGGCAGGAGGCACAGGCACAAGGGTCTCCAGACAGTGCCAGTCCCAGCGCACCACGGGCAGGAGCTTGCAGGCAGGCTGAGGATGAGGTGGGCTGGAAGCACTTTGCTTCAGCTGAGTTATTTTCCCCTATGCTGAGCAGCATGTTTGCAACAACCCCTGTGGTTCCCACCACGTTTTGCACCTCAAACACCAGCTGGAGCAACTCTCTCCAGCGTCAGCACATATTCCCCGTCGGGGTGGCTCTCCAAAGTGATATGGCATCGTCAGCACAGGCAGGAATGACTCTCCCACAGCGGGTTTGCATCCCTCTAATCCTCCATCAGCCCAGGTGTGGCAACTGCTCCGGTGGTCGCTGGCTGGGCGGTCAGCCCATGATCTTCATTGCTGGTTGCACGGGCCCCTGACGCACCTTCCTCCCCCCCGCGCTGGCGTTTCGGTGGGCAGGCGTTCGTTCCGGGCAAGCGGTGCTCTCTCCTGATTTACGGTCTGTGCCCTGTTCCCGCTGCCAGGGGTAATGCGTGGGTTTACAGGATGGGGTTTCGTCGGCCGTGACTTGGCCTCCCCTGGCATTCCCCCTGCCGACGCTGCCCGCCCGGTGGGTTGCGGTGTCGCTCGGCGTGCCCTGCCGCTGCCGCCTGCCCGATGGAGGCCGGCTCTGGTGGGACACTGTGTACTGCCTAACACCCCTAATAACACTTTGCAGGAGTTGCCTGGGGGCATTTCTGGTTAAGAAGCGTTTAATTGATTACAAAACCATGTAGTGGTGGGGGTTTGCATAATGCTGCTCATGGAGGAGCTGGCAGCAGTTTTCAAGCGGGGGGGAGCGGGAATTGCTGCTCCAGGGAAAGGGGAGAAGGGGAGACATAGGGGTGAAGTGACCCAGGGGATCAGGGTGAAGTGACCCAGGGGACTCCTGTAGCAGGTGGGGGGTCTGGGGCTGTGCCTTTTACTGTGCCAGCCTCTAGGGATGCTGGTCCCACCTTGCAGAGGAGTGTCCCTGGCCGGTTCACCCCCTTCCAGCACCCCGGCACTGCTGTGCCCATACTGAGGTGCAGGTTTAAAACTCTGCTGGGGCATGCTGGGGCTCTGGACAGGGATCCCCAGTGCTCCCAGTTGCAGCTGAGCACTGGGGGGCTTGGCTGACACCCCAGGGCCTGCCGCCAGCTATGCCTCTCCCTGCTTTATAACCTGCCTCTGCTCCCAGGGAAGCCTTGAGCCAAGTGAAGATTTGCATCTTGCCTTGCCCTGGGCTGAGATGCAGCTCAGCTGCTGATTTTGGTGCCCTCATAGGCATGGTGGCACCAGCTGGCATTGCCCTGTCACCACCACCCGCTGCCCTGTGGCCCCCTCCTCTGCAAGGGAGCAGGTCCTGTGGGGTGGCTGCCGTGGGGAGCAGGGACGACGAGGAGGCTGCTGTGGGCAGCAAGTCCTGTGGGATCTGTGGGGTTGCTGCCATGCTACTGTTGGCAGTGCCACGCGCTGCTCCGGGCTCAGCTTTGCCAGCTGGTGCTAGCGGCCCAGGGAGCTGCACTGGGCTGTGCCCAGGTCCCTGGGGGGAATGGGTCCCTGCAAGGTGGTCTTTGGGTAACCCCCAACCCATGCCCCAGCTGAAGAGGGCATCCAGCACTTGGGAAGGGGAGGGCTCGGCAGGAAGGGAATGGTGACAGGAACATAGGAGGGAAAGGACCGGGGGCGGAAGGGGACGGCAGCTGTAACCTGCCTCCTTCTGTCATCCCTATAAATAGGAGGGAACAGGAGCAGGATTGCACCTGTGGGACTCCAGCTCTGCAGGAGAGGGAGGGACGGACGGAGCTGCTTCTCACCGCTCTCGCCTCGCTTTGAGCTTCCCATTGCTCTGCCTGTGTGGAGGCCTGAGGCATGGGGACCAGGGAATGGACGTTTTCCACCTTCATGGGATGCTGCGTATGGATTCTGCATGGTACGTCCTGTATTTTTCTGCTAGCACACGTGCTACCTGAGCCCTTGCAGGGCACAGCAGGAATGCTTGTGAGATGCTTTTCCCTCCTGGCTGCACTGGAAACTCCTCTTATGACCAGTCCTTGCAATCCATTGCAGCCAAAGAGCTAGAAAAGTGTTTTACAGAGCAGGCATCACCCTGAGGGGCTGGTTGCAGGCGTGGACCCGTGGGAGAGGTGAGAGCCCAGCCCAGGAGCCTGTGTGCAGCCGTGTACCCCTCCAGCAAGGGAGCCAAGGGAAGCCAGCTGGCAGAGCGGGGCTCCAGGGATGCTCCCACCCCTCCCACGTCCCAGGGAAGAGCAAACGCGGGGCTTCATGCTGAGGCCTCTCTTGCACAAGCTTCCCATGAACGGGCTGCGTGGGGTAGATGGTGTTTCCTGCTCTGCATGGAAGAATTAAGATAAAACACGGTTTTACTGGGATGGAGTGTGCCAAACTAACCTGGGGGGATTTGACTGATGCACTTTGTTTTCCCTGAGATGAGGAGGGAAGCAGCTGAGCTCCTCTGGCTGGGGGTTGGGGATTGGTGCAAAAAGCTTATTTCAGCCAGGGAAGATGGTGAGGAAGCAGCCTGCTGGGAGGGGGAACGGGGGCTGGAGGAGGATGGACCCCTTGAGGACTGGTCTGGCATAGGAGATAATGTTGATTAATGACTCTGGCACAAGTTATCCGCAAGCTAATGAGCTGAGCCAGCGGTGAGGTTGGAGGCACCTCCTCTGCAGGGGGATCTGGCTGCCTGGCAGGGGGAACCTGAGGAACCGGAGCACTGGGATGGGGAACAGGCTCGGGCTGTCGGGCTGTGGCAAAATCCTGCTGGGTCCTGCCCTCGGGGTACCCTTCGTCTCCCCTAATTGCAGCCACCTGAAGCCAAGCGTCAGCAGATCTGCCGGACTCCTCCTGGAGCCAACGGCGGCAGTTTGGTCTCCCCAGACACCCCCTGTCCTAAAAATAAGACTGGGAGAAACGTCACCCATGGGTGCCAGTGAGTGCTGGGAGAAATGCCTGGGATGTGGGGTGGTGTCTCCTTCTCCTTTCAGCAAAGGTCCTGGATGTGGGGCAGAATTTTGGCAGCAGGAAGAGGGAGCTGTAAGCAGGGCTTGGTTCTGGGAGCTCGTGAATATTCGCTCCACTGGCAGGGAACCCCTGGTGCCTGCACCCGGCTAGGGGCAATTGGGACAGGGGCCGGAGCAGGCAGGCTCCCACCCTGGGAGAGATTTAATGAACCTAACTTTAACTGCAGCAGGTCAGAAGCCATTTACAGTTGAGGAATGTTTCACTAAGCCCTGGCTGTCCTATTTGCCAAAGGGCTTTGGGTAAAGTGTATTTAAATGTCCCTCAGACACCAGAAAGGTGAAAGAAGACAAGAACCCCCCAGGCTCTGCAGAAGTGACTTCGCTCAGGGCTGTCCCTGAAGTGAGGCAAAGAGGGCTGAGGGCTGTCCTTGGGCAGCAGAGCTCCACAGACACCCCTGGGGATATGCACTAGACTTACTGAGCCCCAGATCTTCCCAGTGGCCAACCGATACCACCCCCAGCATAACTGGGCTGGGTTGCAGCTGCTGCCTTTGCCTCCATGCCTGCACCAGCATCTCTCCCTGACCTGTGATGAGTTGTGTCCTGTCTCAGCTGGTGGCTGCTGATGCTGGGGATGAAAAGGTGCTGTGCCTAAGGCAGCCCTGGCTGCGCTCCTTGGGTCTTAAATCAGAGCTTGTAAGGCCGTGGGATGAGGCAGTAGGGTTTAAGAAGGGGTGGGAGCTTCCTGACGCTCAACCGGAGGAGACGCGCAGCTGAGCCTGGCAGGCTGCCGGCTCTGGCACCTGGCATAACGCTCTGCTTTGTGCTTCTCTGCAGGGCTTGGGGCTGCTGCTGCCACCACCCCTGTCACCACCGAGGGGCTGTTTGCTGTGGGAACAGCTTCTCCCACCATGGTGGAGAGTGAGGGGCCCCATGACCTGGTGATGGGCACTGCGGAGGCAAACACTGTGGCAGCCAATGCTGAGACAGCCGATAGCATCCTTGTGGAGAATCCGTTGAGCCCATCCTCCCCTCCCGGGCCTGAGCCAGATGCTTTGGTGACAGCGGTGAGCAACTATGGCTCTACAGTACCAGCTTTGATGAATGTGACCAAGCCTCTTAACACATCTCAGGATATTGAGAGGGGTTCGGCTGCTCCCACTGCAGCCACAACCACTGCCGCCATCTCTGCACAGCACCCCGCTGTCACCCCAGAAGCAGAGCTTGATGTAACGGGGCCTGCTCCCGATGCCGCCCTGGGATCCACCCCTCTCTTTGCAGATGTGAAGGAGGACATCCTCGCGGCTGTGACCAGAGAAGGAGCAGACCTAGACCCCACCGCCAGCGCTGTGTCCCTCCCCACCACCCCTCCACTGGCAGTTTCCTGGGGGGCACAGCCAACTGCTGGCAGCCCCGTGGGTGCTGGTGTCACCGTGCTGCCAAGCCAAGGGCTGACCACAGCCACAGGAGCAGTTGAGGAAGGCATAACCCTGCCTGTGGATACGCAAAGTGAAGCCAGTGCCAATTCCTCAAGCCCCAGCCCCGGCACCGGGGGGCTGCTTACAACCCAGCAGGATGGGGTGGTGAACAGGGCCATGGGCATCACCCCAGAGCCAGTGGGAGAAAATGCCCCCGCTGTTGAGGAAAGTCCCGCAGCTTTGGTGCATGGAGACACGGCAGATGCAGTAAATGGTGAATTCAGCACGGTCGGCTCATCCAGCCTGCCTCTGGAGAGCCCAACAGTGTCAGGAACAGTGGGAAACCCAGGGGAGCCCTCCCTCCTCCATGGCCAGGCAGTGCTGAGCCCAGCCACTTTGCTGCCGCCGGCCAATGGTGGGGATGGGGATGGGCAGAGAGCTCCTGGGGTGTTATCAGAGGCTCCTGGTTCAGCCCTGTCACCTGCAGACAGTGAGGCACCCATGGCACCCAAGGTGACAGGAGACATGGCCATCACACCACTGGTTCCCACTGATACACAGAGTGACATGAATCCCCCACTCCCGGACACTGCGCTGCCCACAGGGGACGTGGGGGCTGTGGGACTGGCCAAACCATCCCTGCAGCCTGCCCCATGGCAGACCCCCACTGGAGAACAGCCACCGCTGCTGTCTCCCACGGACACCCCCAGCGCTCCTGGGGCTGCTCACCCACCCCCAGGGACTGAGGCCAGCACCCTGCCTGCACCTGATGGTGGGGCAGAGATACCAGCAAGCCCCAACCTCTCTGCTGCCCCAGGAGCACCTGTGTCTCCATCTCTTGGAGGGTCACAGCCATGGGGGATGGCAGCTGGTGCTCCCCAAGGAGCTGATGGACCTGGCACTGGCTTGAGTTCAGCTTCAGATGCTCCCATCCCAGTATCTTTTGTACCTGATGGACTTGCATGGCCCACTGCTGGGGTCCAGGGTCAGGGAGCCGAGGGTGCAGGGGGCACGGCACTGGCAGGAGGTCCAGGGGATGGCAGTCCCTCTGCAGATACCCAGAGTGACATGAGTCCTTCAGACTTCAGCACTCAGCAGGATCCCGCTAACGCTGGATTGCTGCCAGTAGGAGCAACAGGAGCTTTGGCAAATGCTGACCTGTCCCCTCCATCAGCTCTCAGGGACGGAGCAGGAACAGGAGCAGCCCTGGCAATGGGACAAGTGTCCCCACCTAGTCCCGCACCTCCCAGCAGTGCTGGGCTGGAGCCCAGTCTCTCAGGGGCAGAAGGACCAGGGGACCTGCCCGGTGAATCCACCAGCACTCCTGGGGCTGTGGCCGGCCCCATGGCTGGGGCAGAGACAGCAGCAAGCCTCAACCCTGGTGCTGCTCAGGAAGCACCCATGTCTCCATCCTTTGGGGGGTCACAGCCATGGGGGACGGCAACTGGTGGTCCCCAGGGAGCAGGTCTGCCTGGAGCCAACGGACCAGGCACCGGCTTGACTTCGGCATGGGATGTTTCCAGCCCAGCAACTTATGGACCAGCAGAACCCTCATCACCTGCCCTTGGGGTCCAACTTGGCACAAACCTGGGGCTTCCAGCAGCAGAGGGGCATACAGCTGGAACAGCAGAGCCGGTGCTGGGAGGAGCAGGCAGTGGGACCAGTTTTGAGCCATCCCTTAGCTCCACTGCAGGCAGCGTGATGACATCTGTGATGGATCAACTGCCTGGTGCAGGTTCCTCGTCCGGTCCTGCCTCTCCCAGTGATGTGGTTGCAGCACCCTCCATTTCAGATCCAGCCAGCCCGAGTGCCCTCGGAGGAGCAGGTGGTGCTCCTGGAGCTCTGCAGCCTTCCCTGGGTGCTGGGCCTGGGGTCCCTCCTGCTGCAGGAGAAGGGGCAGGTGAAGGAGCTGGTGATGGGATGGCCCCAGAGCAGTCCCAGGCCACTGCCGGAGAGGGACCAGTTGATTCAGGAGCCCGTGATGGACAAATGGGAGCTGTTCTGCAGACTGCATCTGCTTCCCCATCTACGGAGGGGTCTTCATCGCCTGGGACAGCTGGCAAGACTGCTAACGGAGCAAGCCTTCAAGGAGCTGGTACAGCTGGCAGTGGCTTGAGCACAGGCTTGGAGCCTGCTGGCCGTGAGGAACCCCCTGTGTCTGCCCCCAGCATCCAGAATGGTGCCAGTCTTGGACTTTCTGATGCAAAACTGAGCCAAGTCAATGTGGTGGAGGTGCCTGGAGGAGCCTTGGTAAACAGGGGAGCTTCCCTTGGTGCCAGCCTGGGAGAGGGCACAGGAGCCATCATACAGATCGCATCGGGAGCGCTGGACCCGTCCGCCCTCACCTCCCCCCAGGAAAGGCAGCCCCTGGACCCCGTGGCTCCAAACACCAGTGGCATCTCTGATAGCATGGCTGCCTCACTGGCTGCTTCTCTGCTTCTTCCCGGGCATGGGCTGGGCTTGGGTCTGGCACCCAGTGGGGACCCCCGCTCTGCCTCTGGCATCCAGAGTGGGAGCAGAGCCCTGGCACCAGGGGCACAGGGTGGGCTGGCAGGAGATGCTGGAGGTGCTCAGATGTGGTCTCTTGAAGATGAGGTGGCCTCAGGGATGCCTGCACCTTTGGGAGAAGCATCGACCCATGCACTTGCATCCCCCAACACTGCCCCGGTACTGCCTTCTGCTCCACAGAGACAAAACACTGCAGCGGGGGTGTCTGCCAGCCCTGGGCTTTCCACTCCGCTTTCGGCATGTGAGTCGATAGCGGGGTCCTCTGCAGGGGGAAGGGGAGAGCCAGGGGCTGCCACGCCATGGGGGCCTGCCCTGCTCCTGCCTCCCCACCAGCTGGGAAGCCCTGGAGCCCCCTCCAGGGATGCTGACAGCCCCGTGACTGACAAAGCGAGTGCCGTGCTCCCCGGAGCAATGGCAAGGCGAGGGGACATGGCTCGTCTCCTTCCCAGCGCGACTGGAGCCAGGGCAGGTGTGGAGACCCCCACTCGCTCCCCAGTGGGGGGGAGCCCAGGGGTCCCTGGCCTGCCTTCCACTGGGTTCGCTGCTGGCAGCCCCGGATCAAAGACCCCGAGGCCAGGACCTGCCGGTGGCTCGTCACCTCCTGCCCTGCAGCCATTCTTGGGCGGTGAGCTGACCACCAGCCTGGCAAACAGAGCCCCTGCTGCCAGTGGGTCGAGCCTCCCTGCAGCCCTCCCAGGCCAGGGGGGAGCCCGGGGGGGGTCCCCAGCCACAGCACGCCCAGTCATGTCCTGCAGCCCAGCCACTGCCAGTCCAGCCCCACCAGCCCCCCTCCCCAGGGCCCGGGAGGATCTCCCTGGGCCAGGAGCAGCCACTGTCACCTCCCGCGCATCGTCCCCCATGTTTCCAGCTCTGCCAGGAGGGCCGGCAGCCGCCCCGACCCCACCGCCCGGCCCCGCAGGTACGTGATGCTTGCAGAGCAGCCCAGGCGGGAGGACCACGTCTGGCCTCCTGATGGACCATCCTGGGGCACATTCGGTGCCCAGAGACCGAGGGGGCTATTTAGGGCCAGGACCCCTGGAGGAGATGCACCATGAGGAGCTCCTGCACGTGAGCTTGCATTTTTGGCAGGCTGAGCCTGCCTTTGAGTATGGTCCCGTCAGCTGGAAAACCCATCCCCTCCAAATACTTTTTTTATTTAACAGACATAAATAGAGAGCTGGAGGCTGTAAACATCTCTAGAAAGAGCTGTGGGTGTTTAATTCCCTGCTGTCCCCCTACCACAGTCCTGTACAATGTTTTTCTTCTCCTAATGGCAGTCCTTCAGTGTGGTGCCCCAACAAGGCTAGAGCAGGAGGGGACAGTAACCACAAATGCCATCACAGCAGGTTTAGGGCAGTTGTGTACATGTAAGGCAGTGAAAAGGGTGGGAGCAAGCTCCTGCAAGGGAAGGTGACATGCAGGGTGTCCCAGGTGGCTATTGGCAGTGTCCCCCCATCCTCCTACTGCCCAGGCTGTGTCCCTTTAGAAGCAAAATCCTTTCTGTCCTTTGAGTTTTGACACAGACCAAAGGCTTCGCTGTAAGTGTGTTTTGGGGTTGGTTTTTTTGGTTTTCTTTTCCAGTTGCAGCTGTGCCCCTCTACGGGTATGGAGCGAAAGAAAATGATCGACAGTACGTGGAAAGGAGGGTGGATTTTAATTCTCCACTTTTCAAGCCTGAGACTGGATTCCCATTTGGCAAAACCTTGCGCAACTCTCTCTATGTAAGTCTACCTTGGCTTGACTTGCCGTCGGGCAAGCGGCTGTTGCCCAAAACCTGGGGGAGGCACCAGGTGCCTGGGATGGGACCCTTGCAGGGGCAAATCAATTGGGATGCTGCCAGGGTCTGTTTGCAGCAGGAGATGACTTTGTGGCCATTTTGGTGGTGGCCGGCGGTGGCCTTCCTTGGGTGTTGCTCAAAGTGGGCTCGGAAATGGGAGGGCTGCCACTCCTGTGTTGGGGGATCCCACCGGTCCTGTCCTCACCTGATGGAGGCATCCCTCTGCTCAGTTTACAGACAATGGACAAATCATTTTCCCAGCCTCAGACAACAGCATCTTCACATCCCCCAACCCTCCTCCCAGCGGCTTCAATGGCCACGAGGAGGTTCCCATGATCGCCGTGTTTTGGGACAACGCCGACTTCTCCAGAGGTGTTGGCACCACCTTTTACCAGGTGAGTGAAGCCACCTGGGTGCATGGTTGCATGAAACACCTTTTGTTGATAAACTCATCACCTGTTCTGTGGAGGCCCCCTGAGAACTGTCCTTGATGGAGCCCATAAGCACTGTTTCCCTTTTCTGGGCAAAATCTAAGAGCTGCTGGTCCTGTGTGTGTCACCTCTTGAGCCGTCCAAATCTCATCCAGACACCTAGCTACAGCGCTCCATGCATAACACCAATCTAGACCTGTCTTTGCCTTCTGGGGAGCTAACGCAGTTGTGGCTGTACCCAACCCGCAGGAGTTCCTCACCCTTAACACGGCCAAGCCTCCATTCGTGCGTGACGTGGAAGCGAAGGTTCGGCGGTACCTGAGGTCCTCCTACTCCGCAGCCTGGACCCTGAAGATCACCTGGGAGAAGGCACCTGCCTACGCAGCACGGACTGACACCCGGAGGGTAAGGGGCTGATGGAGCTCAAGGGCTTGTTGAGTTGTCAAAAAAAAAGCCAAGACCCATGGGGGATCACCTTGTTTGTGCTTGGAAATAATAACCAGTTTTGTGAAAAAGGTCAGTCTTGAAGACTTTTGCCAAAAAGAACTAGGCTGTGCCCATGTTTTTGTAGGTTTTCAGGTTTTTTGGGGGACATCTTTAGTTGAACTCTCCCTGCTCCATAATATCTTTCCCTTTAATGTGGTGGGCCTTTATTGTGCACCAGAAGCACTGCTCTTCAGGAGCATAAAATTGGGTTAATTTGAGGCTTCTCATGGAACAGCATCAAAGTAAAACCATCACATTTTCCATGCAAAATGAGAACCAGCCCAGGCTGCGTTTGCCTTGCACATCAGGACCTTAGCCCTGCCGTCCCCCAGTGAGCGCTGACCCACACCCCTAATTTTAAATGCAGCAGCTTTGCTCGCTTTTTTACCTGTCCGCAATGCTTCTTCCCAGACGATCACATACCAGGCTGTCCTGACCACCGATGGCTTCAGGTCCTATGTCCTGATGCTGTACCAGGAGGGAGGCATGCAATGGGATTACACCAGACTTACCACCACCAATGTGCTCATCGGCTACACCAGGTACAGCAGGCTTGGCACCCAGCCCCTGCCTCCTCCGAGCACAGGGCTGCATTCCACCCCCAGCTCCAGCTCGTTTAACCTTTCCCCTGTGTCCCACGAAGTGCTCTGCAAGGATGAGGACAGCCCAGATGAGGTCTGCACACCCATATAGACTAAGATATGGGGGTCTCACAACCAAATTTGCCCCATTAGTGGCTGGATCATGCTGCAGCACACCGACCTGCTGGGCTGTGCTTGCTGTAAGATCCACACATCCCTCTGGGGTCCCAGGCCCACAGCATCCTGGTGGTTTGGGAGGAAGGAGTGGGGAACAGGGGATGTTTGCTGAACTTTGCACCAGTTGAGGGAAGGGATTTCCGCCACTTGGCTGGAGCGGTTGCTTCCTGCCTCCTCGCATTACGTCTCACCCTGTGCACGCCGTCTCTAGGGTTTCCTCATTAGCTGCTTGCTGCAGCTGGGTAAGAAAAAGGTGGCTGGGACGGAAAGTGCGGGCGGCACAGGCATGTGTCTATGTGTGTGTGTGCTTGCCTGTGCACGACCGCTTATAGGTTTCCGCTCCGTATTGCACTGCAAGATGCTGGAAACAATGGAAGCTGCTTGCAGGGGTCTCAAGATGTCTGTGTGTTCAGCCCATGATGCAGCAGGAGCATTTGCAGCACCCAGAACAAACTGCACCCTGTAGAGAGGAGGCAGCAGGCTGAGGGAGCTGGTGCCTTTGCCCTCCTGTCCCCAGAGCTGCGATTTGGGTGCTGTGGGGTCCCGCTGGCTCAAGATCAGGGCAGCTGAAGGGCAGGCTGGGGCTGGGATAACCCCACCTGGGAAGAGCAACCCCTGATTTTTTCCCTTTCTTTGCACATAGTGGGGATGGCTTTTACCGCAATGATGACCTGACTCAGAGACCTCCAGCTGCTAAATATCGCCCTGATCAGTTCAGGGGATACAACACAGGTAGTGCCGCACAGCCAGGGTGGGTTCACGCAGCCCCTCAGGGGGTTGGGGAAGGGCTGTGTGGGGAGGGGGATGCTCCCAGGGGATGAAATCCAGCTTGCTGCTGTGGCAAGGTTCTCACTCAGTTCACCAAGGCCAAACTTCCCCCCAAGCACATAAAATGCTTCCCCTGGGTACAAGCTATGCCCTGAGGCTGAAATGACCTTGATGTATGCATGGACCCCTTTTGTTGCAATGGCTCTGTCCCAAGGCTTCCTTCTTTGGCAAGAGCCTCTCCCCCTGTTTCCGTGCTGTTGGGTGGCTGTTAAGCATGGGGTCCCATGGCTGGGGGTCAACACGGGCTTAGCTTCCAGCATCAGCAACACTTGGCTCTCGCCTCAAGCCGAAACTGCCCCGGCGGTCCCCTTGGCCAGAGGTGAGAGCTCGTGGTTTCTCTCCCCACTCAGACCTCCGTGGGCTGTGGATTTACAAGCTGGAGAGCCGCGTGAGAGTCAACTACCGGCTGAAGTGCCTGGCGTGGACGGGGCAGCAGCAGGAGCCGCGGGTGTGGAGCCAGGGCCTGCCTGCCTGCCCCTGCTCCCTGCAGCAAGGGCAGCAGGACCCGCGCTTCAAGAGCAGCCGCGGAGGCAAGTGGACATGCCGCTTCCCCACCCTCCTTGTCCCCAAGATTTCCCTCCCCACCTCCCCTGCAAGGGTGGCTGGGGTCCATTCTGGCCAGGTGGGCAGGCGACCCCAAGGAAAATGAGGGGGGGGGAGCTGCCCTTCCCTGCAGAGACAGGGAAAATGAGGAGGAACAAGGACTGACCTGTCCCCGTCTTGTTAGACTGGTCAGAGCTGATCTAAGCTGCATGGGGACAGTGGGGATGGACCCTCCCCAGCACTGGGGTCTCACCTTGGGGGACCACTTGAATGGTGTCCGTCATTCCCTCCAAACCCCATAGCACCGTGGGTGATGCGGTGGGAGGGATGGATAACAAGGAGCCAGCCCCTGCCTCACTCCTTGCCCCGAGGTAGGGATGCTGGCCCTGGGGAGAGCTGCGCTGAGGCTCACTGCTGCCCTGTTGCAGGCTGGTGGGCTGCCCGCGTCTCCATGCTGCACTCTGCATCCCCCAACCAGCACGGTGCCGGCGTCCGCTGCCTGTACGACAGCCAGAGCCAGCTCATCGAGGGGCGGCAGGAGAGGTACTGGAGATCCTCCAGGCAGGCGTCCCCTTACCGTGGTAAGCACAGCCAGCCCTGGCATCCCCTGGCTGAGGCTGGCATCACTGTAGCCTGTAAATCATTTTAACCTCTGCACCAACCTGTTTCCTGACGTGCTGTTGCCCTCGGAGGGAGCATGGACTTGCCAAAAGGCGAGGCGAGCGACCTGCCTGCCCGGAGCTAGCTCATCTCCCTCTCGTCTCCCCTTCAGCTCCTTACTCTCCTTTTTGCCTCCAGACCAGGAGCTGAAGTTGTACGACTGGTGCTGTAACCAGGCGGGCAGTGCCCACCTCTGTACCCGCTACAGCGAGAAGAGACCGAAGATTGGCTGTGATGGATACCAGCCACCCAGCATGGGTGGGTTTGCAGCCTGTGTGTGCCAGGGTGATACTGTCTTGGTGCCCAGAGTTGGGGGGGAATGTCCCAGCCACCCTGTGGTTAAGGCAGCAAGAGCTCCAGGCAGATGAGGGATGGGTTTTGGGGTGCCCACATGCAGGTTGTGCTGTGCCCTGGGCTGTGTGGGGTTGCGGGGGGCACCTCCCTTAGCACATAACCACCAGTGCAGTCTGGCGGTGACAGCACTGGGAGGGGAGGACCACAGCTAATGCGGTCATCGGTGTAAGCTGATGTGGGACTTCCTTGCAACCCCCAGCAGGTTCCTCGGAGGAGCAAGAGAGCGACTCAGAGGAGCAGAAAGGTGAGCGGGATTGGGGGGGTGTCCTCTCCGCTGGCCACTTCCCTTTGTCCCTGTCCCCCCATGTGGAAACTCGTCTGGGGCTCCCAGCTCGCCCCAGGCCCCCAGGGAGGAGGTGGCCGGGCAATTATCGTTTCTTCTTTGCAGATGGAGAGGACAAGTAACTGGGGGGTTGAACACCTGCAGCATGGTCTGGGCCACAGCTGATCCTCCGAGTCCTTTGCTCCTGCTCATCTCCTGTGTCCGCCTGCTCCCACCAGCACCCATCACCCCTACCCACCACACAGGGCAGCTCACTCAGCCAGTGCCTGCAGTTGCCTTCACTGGCACAAGTTCATGTTTCTCATCCGGACCAGTCCCAAGGAGTCAGTTGCTTTAGTTGCTCTTCCCCAGTTGCAGCTGAACAGGTGCCTGTGGGCACCTCCTTGCTGGTGGGGAGGTGGGCAGATACCCCCCACCGTGTCCACCACCCCTTGTCCTCCCTGCATCCTCTCTGTGCCTTCCACACTGCAGGGTGAGGTTGGCCCCCCAGCACCTGGGGAATGGGTTTTTGCACCTTGTGTGGGTTGACTGCAGATGAGCCTCTGAGTGCCGTGGTGCGCCAGGCTCACCCTGTGAGCCAGTCCATTCTTGTCCCCCACTTCTGTCCCCCAGCTATCCCTCCCTGGGTCATCCCCAGGCCCTGTGCCCAGGAGAAGGGGCGATTCTCTGGATCAAGCCAGAGTCTGCTTGATGCCTCTGCTGGGTGTGTGAGGGCAAAATTCAACCCCATGATCAGAAACATTGGGAGAAAAATAATGTTTTTGTGCACAAGAGAGCATCTGCCTTTCTTTGAAAAAAAAAAACCCTTTTCACATCTTATTTGTTCAATAAAGCCTCTGAGGGGCCTGAGCATCACCAATTCTGCGGCAGCCACGTCCTCTGCTGAACCAGGGTGGGAGGTGGTGGTGGGGACAGGCTGGGGACAGCAGCATTGCAGGATTGGGGCTGGTGCTGGGGATGTGAGCGTCTGGGCTGCGGCTGAGATGGGCTCTGGGGCAGCGGGGCTGGAGCTGGGGTCTGCTGGGGTCTGACGCGCCCTCTTTGGGCTCAGCATCTTGTCTCAGCAGGGGCGAAGGGCTGTGGGGTGTTCGTGGGGACCACAGCCTGACCTGTGTGATCTGAGCCACTGCAAGATGTGCCTGGGGAGAGCAGTGGGGGAGACTTGCGGTCTTGTAGGGGGAATGAGGGATTGGACCAACAAAGACAGCTACATCCATCTTCTCTTTGGCTCTGTGGATGGGACCAGCAGAAAGCAGAGACTTGAGAGGCTGGCAACAGGGAAGCAGGGCAATGGGGTGCAGGCAACTCACTGAGCAGCTTGCCATAATTTTTGGTTTATTCTATTTTGCTCCTAACAGGTTATAATCACTGCATTGCCCCACCTGAGTCTGCTATCAGTGGCTCTGCCAGGTCCAGTTACACTGCACTAGGGCATACCCCGGTGCAGACACACTCAAGGACTGTCCTGGTTGCCTCTGCAGGTCCTCAGGGGAAGGTGAAATCCTCTCTCTTTGGCCACCCAACATAAACCCACATTTTTCATTCAAAAAAAGCACCTCCGCCAGAGTGAATCCTCCCACAAAGACCAGATCCCAAAAGGCAGCTCACCATCCTCTGCCTCCATGCAGGCGCCACTGCCGGAGACCCCGAGAGTGGGCAGCAGGGCTGGCAGCAGCGGCTGGCTCCTCCGTGAGCCCGGAGGCACCGGGGCAGGACCGGTGGCAGGCTAGGGCTGCTGGGGGGGCTGGCTCGGAGGCCTGACATGGGGTCTCTGGATCCTTATCTGTAAAGGAGGGACAGGCCACGCCGTGCTGTCGGTGCTGCACAGGCTCTGCTCTTTGTTATGAACTCAAACAGTGATGCAGACCCCAAAGCCACCCAAAGCATCCCTGATGCTCCGGGACGAGGCATGGCTCCCAAGCATCTTTGAGGCACAGGGCCAGGACATGGGTCCGCAGCCCACGGCCCCCCACCCCAACCCCCCATGGGGACAATAACCCCTGGGCAGACCTGAACTGAGGGGTCGATGGCCTGGAGCTGCAGTTCCCAACGCCTTTCCAGGGAGTGGGAGCGGGTGGGCTCTGCTCGCTCTCCTGCCATCGTCAGAGCTGGAGCAGGGAAGATGAGCAGAGCTCAAAGAAGACTGGAGTGAAGCAGAGCTGGGGTGGGGGGTTTTGCAGAGATGTACTCACAGGAGAAGGGCCGTGGCCTCCAGAAGGTCTCCTTGGCCCTGGGAGGGGAGCAGAAAGGGGATGACACGTTGTGGGGGGCTGGGAGAGCCCCTGCCTGGTCCTGGCACCTGGGTCGGATGGCAGAGGGGAGCAGTGACTGAGTGTGGGGGCGAGATGGGACTATGAGAGGAAGAAAAGCCTCAGTTGCTGTGTGCACACAATTTCTCGCCTTGCCACACGTGCAAACGAAGAGAGGCGCTTCCCAGAGAGATTCAGCTCTAGGGCCAGCGGGGAGCCGGCAGCACGGGCAGGACACAGCTCCAACTGGTGCAGGGGGCTTGGGGTGCTGGGCTTCCCCGAGTGTGGATGCCATGCTGGGACTAAGGGCTGTGGAGGGGGGGAGAAGGTGCTGGTGCTTACACCCCAGCCTTGCACCTCATCAGCCATCTGGTAACTCTCTGCCAGAGAGCAAGGTCCAATCCTGCAACCACCTTTTTCTTGCTCCAGACCAACTCTTTCCAGACCAATGTGAATTGCAGTGGAAGTCATTTGGATGGTATGCAAATTAAAATGAAATAGAAAGCCCATCTGTAACCGAGCACCGGATGGGATGAGGAAGAAATGCAAATATTCTATGACATGGGGGAAAAAGGACGCTAATGTTCAACCCACTGATGTTATTGCACCCCTGAGCAGCAGATGACTGGGAAAGAGGCTGGAAGATGCTGAATGATCACCCAGCCCAGCTCCTTCGCCAGGGCAGGCTCCCCTTACCCAGGCCAGACAGGTCGATCAGTGGTGGATCTTCCAGAGATGGATTTTCCACCAGTTTTTCCTTCCTGACACCCAACCTCCTTCCCTGCCGCACCCACAGCACCCACTCCTGCTTGGGTCCAGCCCGTGGCTCACCCCCGGTGCCGGTGGCAGTGCCGGCGGCAGAGACGCAAGGCCAGGCAGGCGACGGCGAGCAGGAGGCAGAGCAGAGCCAGGGCTCCCAGCAAGATGCCGAGGAAGGCGGCGAGGCTGACGGCCAGCTGCTCGCACCGGGCGCCGGTGGGGGAGAAGATGGAGAAGGGGAGGCAGCTGTGGATGGGGAAGGAGGAGCAGTGATGCAGTGGGGAGAAGCAGCCAGGCCGGGTGGCCTCGTCCACCCCCGGCGCGGCTGCTACCTGCACGTGGGTCCCTCAGGCAGGTGCTGGCACTGGCCGCCATGCTGGCAGTAGCCCATCTTGCAAGGGGAGATGCAGACAAAGCCGATGGTCCCCACGTAGTGGAGCTGGTAGCCTTTGTAGCCGTACAGACCGCAGGGGAAATAGTGCCTCAGCTCAGCCACTGTCACTGGGGAGAGAAGGCACAGGTTTGGCCACGTGACAGCATCACACCTTGATGTTTTCCCAGGTCTCCCTGAGACGGATCCGTGCCTGGGGTGGGGATTGCTGCCCACCCGCATCTCCTGTGGGGGTTACCCGAACCCCAGGGCACGCAGGGTGATGGGTACAATGGGGACAGTGGGGTTCTCCTCCTGGGCTCCCCAGCTCAGCGCTGGGAGCAACTCACGCTTCACCACATCGGTGATGTTGTCCCGGTGCAGGTGCTGGAAGAGGAGGTGTGTGCCTGCCTCCCGCCGCCCCCGCTTCCCGTTGAAGGCGCTGATGATGGCCCCCGGCAGCAAATTATTCAGGAACCGGATGATGGTGCTGCGGCTATCATAGGCAAACTCAGACACCACTGTGAAGGTGAAGCCATCACCGTCTGTCCTGTGGGGAGAAGACAGGGCTGCTGGCAGAGCCTCTGCTGCATCACATCACCGTGCCTCAGTTTCCCCATTTTGGAGTGGTAAAGAAGGGATGAGGCAGGAGATGGAAGGTGCCATGGGGCTTGTGTCTCCAAGGGTTTATCACCATCAGGACTGGAAAAACAGACTCTGGGGTGGGGGAAAATGCCCTTTGTGTCCCAAACCCTGTGGCCCCATGCCCAGCCCTGCCCTGCCGGCTCCCTGGGGTGGGCATGGGGCAGCTCCAAGGCTGACTCACGTCTGGGTGATGTTGGTGTTGCTCTGGAAAGCCTTTACCTCCAGGGAGTCCAGGATAGCTGAGACCTGTGGTGGGGGGAGCGGGAGGGAGTTAGGGGAGGGCAGGACTGCACCGGTGTGGAAAGAGGCTGAAGGGCAATGCAGGCACCATGGCCAAGCCCCAAGGGCTGCTCTGGCCTTTCGTTTGTGCGCTGGGGACCTGGCACATAGCCACAGCCGCAGCCAGCATCATGCGGCTGGTGCTGCCTCCCTCCAGCCCTGTGGATCTGCTGCATCCCCAGGGATCCCACAGGAGGGGGGTCCATGGAGGCACAGGCACCCCAAGCTGCCATGCTGCCCAGTGTGCTGGTACGTCCCCCTCCCCGAGCCCATCCCCTCTGGTGACATACGGTGCCGTTGACTTCCCCAGCAGTGGCATTTTGCAGCGTCCTGACCCGCAGCTGGACACTTCTCCGGGGGAGATCTGCTGGGGAAAGCCACAGTGGTGGCTCTGGCACCCCAGGACCAGGGCGAGCGGGGTTGGGGTTCATCCCCCACCAGGCACAGGCACCCACCTGTGCTGGGCAGCGGCCGAAAATCCCCCCCTGCCACCAGGCAGCGCTGGTCGGTGAAAGCCGGGGGGCAGGCGCAGGCTGGGGTGCAGGTGACGGGGTGCAGGTGGCAGTGTCCCCCGTTGCTGCAGTAGCCCTCGGGACAGGAGCGGGAGCCGCAGGCTGAGCCACAGCCTGGCCCCTCGCCTGCGGGATGGGGAGACCGGGTCAGGTGGAGGCACTAGCCTGGCTGCAGGGGCAGAGTCCCAGCGCACTGATCTATCCTCAGCTGCTCTGTAATGCCTTTCTTCCAAGTGTTGGGATGGGGCTTTTTTATGCGTTCAGACTTTTAGTACAAATTCAGATCCTCACGAAAAAGCCCTGCACCCCCTTCTCCCAGCTGGAGCCTTTTTCTCTTGTGAAATCCCAGCCTGCTGTATTAGAACAGGAGCAAAAACCATCACCCCAACCCCACTACAGCCATCTGAAAACAGGATTTGATTTTAGCCCCCAACCTCCACATGTGCATTTGAATTTTGATGCGATGAGATTTTTTTTTTTCTCAAAGAGAAAAATTGCACAGGAAAAGTTTCCCTTCCTGGTGGATTAGTGAGATCTGCAGCCTGGGAGCACGAGGGATGGCTGAACTCTGGTCCCTTCTGTTAAGGACAGCAAGGCCTCGGGTTCAGAGCTCAGCCAGCTCCCCCTCCACTGCTCTCCAGCCAGTTTGGGTCCCCCGGGAGCCCTCTTCCACTGAGATCCAGGGGGTGATGGGGACGAGGACCATGCCCACCAGAGTGCCTGTACTCACCCTCCTCGCCAGGTGGGCAGGAGCAGGTGTAGCTGCCCACCGTGTTGGTGCAAGTGGCGTTCCCCGGGCACACCATTCCCTCTGCGCACTCATCGATATCTGCCAAGGCAATGCAGCGTGGCACCGGGAGAAATGCCTCAGCCAGGGTCTCGTGGGTGCCCTGGGTTCCCAGTGGCCATGGTGAGCCCTTGTCACCTGAGCAGTGCCGCCCGTCACCCGTCAGGCCAGCCGGGCAGGGGCCGCAGCCGGTGTGCGAGTCACAGCCCACGCCGGGGAAGCATCCCTGTGCGCAGGGGTCCGGAGGGTCCTGGCAGAAGGGACCCGAGTAGCCGCCCTCGCACCTGCAGGCTGCCAGCTGGGAAGGGGACAGTGACACTGGCTTAAGGGACATGACAAGGACGGGTGGACAGAGAAGTCAGCCAGTGTGGCTGGCACAGGGACAGGCACGGTGTGGCACCATAGGAGTTTTCCAGCATACTACCTGCAGGGAGGACCCCCTGAGGGTGACAGTGTCGCTGTAGTCACACTCCTGGCTCCTGCTGCAGCTGCAAAGGGTGAAGTGGAGCTGGAGGAGGGCGGAGAGGTTGTTGGACCCAACAGCCTCCAGGTTGACGGTGAGCGGTGCCGTCCTGTGGGGCTCCCACGTCAGGGTGCCGTTCTCTGCCGGGGCGAGAGGTGGGAGTTAGAGGAGGTGGCAGAGGAAAGGGGCTGGGTGGCCAGTGTCCCCCCCATCCCATCCCATCCCATCCCATCCCATCCCATCCCATCCCATCCCAGGTGCCCCATCTCTCCTTCCTTACCGGATATGTTGAGCTCTGGTGAGAGGTGGGGGACAAAGCGTGCGCCCACCCCCACAGCACGGTACTGCCTCCTGACCCTTTCTGTCCTGAAGGCTGTGAGTGATGCGTCACCAGTGATGACGGGAGGGAAGGCATCTAAGGAAACAGCAGCCCAGCACACAGACGGTTGGTTCCTACATGGCTTTGGCACCCCTTGGCTCTGAGTCCCTCCTCGTGAGGATGGGACCCCAGGCAGATACTGCCATGACCACCCACCGAGAGGGCCCTCATGTTGCACAGCATGGTGGCATCTCCCAGGCTTGGAGACCAGCCAGCTGAGCAATGCAACTCCGAGACCTTGGTGACTTCTCTCCTGCCTCACATGGAGCAAGAGAGCCCAGGGAGGGAGCAGGGCACTGCCTGGTTACACAAGTCATGCCCTCTTGGAGGTGAGGATCTGCTCACTCCACTTACTGAGTACTGCCTTCTTCTGCTGGAAGTCGGCTGCGAGGCTCTGGGTGGCCAGGCCCAGGGCCACATCCCCTGTGCTCAGTGAATCGTAGATGCACTCCTTGCTGCCACGGCACCACGAGGCTGCCAGCTGGTACTGGCTTTCATTCTCCTGCCGCAGTTGAGACAAGAAGATGGGTGTGAAGTTCATTACTGGTGAGTCCAGAGGCTGAGCAAACAGGCTGTGCTCTCCGACAGCCCCTGCAAGAGAGCACAGCATGGGTATGGCCTTGGGTTTTTAAGGTTTGTTATATTTTAGGGCTCATTTCCACGGACCAGCGAGGAGACCAAAGGGCTTCCCTTCCATCACTTTTGCTCAGGCAAGTGTCTAAATGTCTCCAGCCAAAGCATGGCCAGAAGGTGCAGGAATGGGAGGATCATCAAGGTGGATCCCAAGCCTGGACTTACAGGTCATCCCATAGCTATAGATCTCCTCCTCGCTGCTGTTCACAGGGATGCTGGTGCCATTCGGCATCTGGAAGTCATCTGCGGGGTCATGGTCCCACACACCTGGTGGAGCATTACCAGAGGACTGGAGTCCCCCATGTCGGGGTTGACCTCCTCTCTGGTGCTGACCGGTGTTTAGTTTAGACCCAGCGGCCCCTGCCCTCACAAGCACGTTCCCTGTGTTTTCCAGCCTGCTTTAGGGTGGGAAGGGGACTTTGCACCCTGGCTCTGCAGTGGTGCCAGAAGTCCTCACCCAGGAGGCCCTTGGTGCTGTTGCGGTACCGATCAGGCAGGCTGCAGACCACGCTGAGGATCCCGGAGGCTGCCGAGATGGAGATGGCAATGGCTGCATCAAAGACGGCCATGATGGAGGAGGCGTTGACCAGCAGGACACCGGGGCTGTAGTACACCTCAGCACCCATGTCTGCAAGAGAAGGAAAGCACAGAGGCAGAGTCCACACAAGGCTGGGGTCTGAAATGATGCCCCTGAATTTGGAGAGGGGAACACTCCCCATCCACGCCAGCTGAGTCAGAGACGGTGCAGGTGGGAGATGTTTGATGGAGCTCAGGATGACTGCCCTCGCACTGGGCAGGGCTGGTCCCTGTGGGATGGAGACACCCCTTGTCCACCCCAAATAGATTTAACATTTAACAGCACACCCTGCTCACCTTGGGAATAGGAAAACTGGATGGTTTCATCATTCAGGAGGACTTGGATGTCACCCTGGTTCCCCAAGGTCCACTCAACCTGCAAATCACAGTGGATGTCCCAATCAAACCCTTTGCTCGTCCTTTCCTGCTGTCCCCCCATGCTGGGGACACTCGAGCTAAACCCCATCCTCCTCCAGCCCCGGCAGAGAGGCTCAGCCCCAGGGCTCTTCACCCCAGCAAACACATGATAAAGTGGCTTTGATGGTTGCACAGAAGAGGACACCAAGCTGCCCCCCGTCACTGCTGGCATGGGGCACGCACAGGCCACTGCTGCTGCTCGGCTGACCATGGCAGCACAGAGAGTTGTGCTGGTGGGCTCCAGACTCTGACTCCCCTCCTCACACTGCTCAACAACCGATTCTGGTGACACCAGGAGATTTTGCTTACTGAAACGGGTGTGGGGAGCAATTCTGCAAAGCAAGGAAGAGTATGCGCTTGTGCTAAGGTGTCCAGAGGAGACCGGTGGTCGGGGTGAAGGGTGTGCAATGAAGAGGGTCGAGCAGACCGTGTTCCTGCAGAGCTCCAGGCCCTTGCTGGCCAGCTTATAAGAGGTGTTAGAGCTGGGTCTTGTTACTCTTAGTCCAACCCACTGCTATTAGCACTTTGCTGGGGTCGTGGGAGGTGGTAGGAAGAGGAGAGGGGATGCTCCTCGGGTCCTGGCCACTTGTAGGTTATGCAGAGGCGATGCCCAACCTGCCAGAGGGGTCTCTCCCATTAGAAGCGCAAACTGATACCCAGGTTGCTCCTACTCACTGTTGTGGTGGTGGCAGAGTTATACTGGGCAGCAAAGGCCATGAAGTTGGTGGCCTGGGCCGTGCCGGTCCGGACCGTGCGCCCATGCAGCATGAAGCTGGTCTGGGCATCACTGGCCAGCAGCAGGACAAAGTCTCCGAGCCCATTGAAGGTGTAGGTGAGTCCATCCAGGGTGGTGATGTGGGGGTCCCCAAAGGCACCAGCTGGGGTCCAAAGGAGGCAGAGCCGTTTCGGCAGGGAGGAAGAAAAGCAAATGAGTGTCATTGCATGGAGGAGAGCAGTCCCCGGTGCTGCACTGGGCTCAGCAGTCCCCACCAAGATGCTGCAAAGTGTGGTTAATGCATGGGGTCTGTGTACAGCCGTGCCACCCACTCAGTACCTTGGCACAGAGGAGGGAGAGCCCTGGGGACTCACCGGGGGTGGGTGGCACATATCCCTCGCAGCCGACCCTCGGTCTCTTCTCAGCAAACCTGGCACAGAACAGAGGCTTCCCCACGCGCCGGCAGCACCAGTCGAATGCCTCCAGCTCCCCGTCTGCGGAGGAAGGCGGCTGGGTGCTGGGGGCTGTCAGGGTCCCTGCCGTGCCTGCAGAGTGCTCGGTGCTCAGGGTGTTTTAGGGCGAGGGAGCGCTGGTGCCCACTTACCAGTGGCAGGGTGGATGGGGGGGCTCCATGCTCTCTCCTGCCAGCCCTCGAGCAAGCTCCCATCTTGGTACAGACACCGCACCCCAGCTCCGGCCGGGCTGGGGGATGCAGTGCGCAGCATCCTCAAGGAGGTGTCCGCCGGGCCTGAAATGGTGTGGGGGGATCGTGGCTGCCCCCAGAGGAGAAGGGGACCCCCTGCCGTCCCCCCACCCTGTGGCTGGCCCTGGTGGGGCTGCGCTTGTCACCTTTGCTCCGGCGGTAGCGGGGATCCAGCTCTGCCTGGGGTTCGGAGCAGGGGCATGGAGGCAGCTGGTCATTCCAGGTGGCCGGCGCTGGCTCTGCATCCAGCCACGCCAGGCACTGCAGCCTGTAGTTCACCCGGGAGCGACTGTCCAGCCTGTATATCCACAGCCCGCGCACACCTGGGGGAGCAACCACCGGAGACCAGCACAGCTCAGCCTGGGTCTCGCCTTGTGCTGAGGGGGATCCCGTGGGACAACCGGTCCTGGCCGTTGACCTCACACGAGGTCTCCAGGCTCCCTCTAGAGCCAGTGTGGCCATGGCCACAGCAGGACATGGGACATCCGTGCTCTGCTCTCAGTGGCCAGCCCTTGCCCGGTGTCTCCACTGACCTCGCAGGGATGTGTGCTGGGACATGCTCCCGGCACGGAGCACAGGCACACGGCTCCCTCCATCCCCATGCACCCCGAGGGCTCTCCCGGTGCCATACCAGTGCCAGTGCTGCTGTGCTGGTCGGGTCGGTACTTGACAGCTGGTGGTTTTTGAGTCAGCTCATTATTTTGGGCATAGCCATCACCGCTGTGTGGAGAAAGGAGGTTTGGGGTCACCCTCCCAACACGACCCTCTTCCACCCCCCGAAGAGCAGCTGGGGTGGGAACTGCTGCAGTTTGCAGGAGAGAGAGTTTAAGTGGGATGGGGTGCTCCAGGGGTGGTAGCTGGGCTCTCCTGGGACAACGTCTCCCATGGTCCCAACATAGTGCTGGGAGAAATCCCTGCTGTCCCAAAAGGCAGCCACACATGTGCGCAGCACCTGGAGAAGCCGATCAGCACGTTGCCCTCAGCCAGCTTGGTGTAGTCCCACCGCATCCCGCCGTCCTGGTAGAGCAGTAGGGCGAAGGAACGGTTCCCATCGGTGGTGAGGACTGCCTGGTAGGTGCTTGTCTGGAGAAACCCAAGGCACCCCCTTAGCACCCCAAAGCCTCCCTTGCTCTCCTCACAGTGCAGACTGAGGCGATGAGACCTGAAATGCCTGCATCAAACTGTGGGAGACCAGCAGCCCAGCCCTGCCCTGGCCATTGCTGGTGACAGTCCCCTCCATCACCTGGGTCCCTCACTGCTCACCTGAGTGTCGTCCCGCTGGGACGGGTATGCCGGAGCCTTCTCCCATGTCACCTTCAAGGTCCATTTTGCTATGTAGGGGGTTTTCAGGTATTTCTCAATCTTTGCTTCCACATCATGGATAAGGGGGTCTGGGGCAGAGCTGAGGGTGGAGTACTCCTGCCAGTTGGCAAGAAAGAGGGTTAAATGGGTGAGCTGGGAGCTGGGCTTTCCCAGGAGAACATCTTTGGTGGCCCCGACCTGGTACCAGGTGGTGCCGACACCCTGGGAGAAATCTGCGTCGTCCCAAAAGGCGGCCACCATCGGCAAACCCTCCCAGCCGCTGAAGCCTCGAGGAGGTGGGTTAGGGTTGGAGAGGACGTAGTTGTCCGTGGGTGGGAAAATGATCTGTCCGTTATCTGTAAACTAACCAAAATAACTCATTATTTGCTGACATCCCAGGCAGCTTCTGGGAAGGCTTTTAGCCTCCATGGATGAGCAGAAACCAGCCATTTTAAATTGCAAAAAAATTAACATTCAGATGAAATTCAGTTTCTGCTCCATTTCCATGGTTTTTTTTGCTACCAAAGAGGCTGCATGTCCCTTATGTACTCAGTGAGGGTGGGACTCACATAGAGAGCATCCCGCAGCGACTTCCCAAAGGGGAATCCAATCTCTGGCTTGAACAGGGGGGAGTTAAAATCCACCATCCTCTGGACGCACTCTTGGTCCCCTCCCTCCATGCCGAAGGGGTAGAGTGAGGCTGCTGGCACTGACACGGGCAGAAGATTAATTGAAAAGGTGAAAAACCATTAATGTCTGCTCCATCCTTCCTGTGGCCAGGGCAAACTCGCCTGCTTGCTGCTGGGATGCTGTGCCTGCGCTCCCCCTGACCAGACCAGCACTCTGATGGCTTGTAGCCCAATTTTTAACCCAGTTTTTAACTTGGAATACGATGGTCCCAGATATCTTATTTCACCTTTCCCCGTGAGTCTGGCAGCCCAATGCACAATGCAGATGAGTCACCCCGGGCTGGGCCATACCCTCAGCCATCATGGTGCTTGGTTGGCTAACAACCCCTTCCTCCTCTTTGCCATGGGAAGAAGAAAAGATACTTACTGATAAGGCTGTGGGATGGCTGGGGCTCAGGGGCAGGATTTCTATGGCCAGCAGTGGTGCGGGCAGTTGTGCTTGGTGCTGTGGCCAGTCCCCTCTGTGTCCCAAAGGCAGGAGATGGGTTGGTGGCAGGACTGGTGGTGTCTGGTGGTCCCACTGGTGCCACGGTGCCTGGGGCTGGGAGACCTCCCACCTCCTTGGCTGGGCTCACTGGGGCTGTGGGTGCAACAGCCACGGTGCTCCCTGCAGTGATGGCTGTGGTGCTGTCTGCAGCGATGGCTGTGGTGCTGCCTGCAGCGATGGGCACTGCGCTGCCTGCGGTGATGGCTGTGGTGCTCCCTGCAGTCATGGCCATGGTGCTCCCTGCAGTGATGGCCGTGGTGCTTCTTGCAGAGATGGCTGTGGTGCTGCCGGCAGTGATGGCCACTGCACTGCCTGCAGCAATGGCTGTAGTGCTCCGTGTGGCAATGGCCATGGTGCTCCCTGCAGTGATGGCCATGGTGCTCCCTGCAGTGATGGCCATGGTGCTTTTTGCAGCGATGGCCACTGCGCTGCCTGCAGTCATGGCTGTGGTGCTCCCTGCAGTGATGGCTGTGGTGCTCCCTGCAGTCATGGCCATGGTGCTGCCTGCAGTCATGGCTGTGGTGCTCCCTGCACCAATGGCTGCGGTGCTGCCTCTAGTGCTGGCTATGGTGCTGCCTGCAGTCATGGCCATGGTGCTGCCTGTGGCGATGGCTGTGGTGGTCCTTGCAGTGATGGCTGTGGTGCTCCCAGCAGTCATGGCCATGGTGCTGCCTGCAGCGATGGCTGTGGTGCTGCCTGCAGTGATGGCTGCTGCACTGCCTGCAGCAATGGCTGTGGTGCTCTCTGCACCAATGGCTGCAGTGCTGCCTGCAGTCATGGCTGTGGTGCTCCCTGTGGCGATGGCTGTGGTGCTCCCTGCAGCGATGGCTGTGGTGCTCCCTGCAGTGATGGCCGTGGTGCTTCTTGCAGAGATGGCTGTGGTGCTGCCTGCAGTCATGGCTGTGGTGCTCCCTGCAGTCATGGCCATGGTGCTGCCTGCAGCGACGGCTGCGGTGCTCTCTGCAGTGATGGCTGTGGTGCTCCCTGCAGCGATGGCTGTGGTGGTCTCTGCAGTGATGGCTGTGGTGCTCTCTGCAGTGATGGCTGTGGTGCTGCCTACAGCAATGGCTGTGGTACTGCCTGCAGTCATGGCTGTTTTCTCCCCCCGGGCAGGTGCCCCTAGAGGTGTCCAGAAGCTGGGAGATGACGTGCTCGCTGCTTGTCCCGTGGCACGGCTGCTGACAGCCATGGGAGAAGAGGTGCCTGTTGCTGGCTCAGAGGAGGCCCATCCAGCTGCCGATTCCCCGCTTGCACCAACACCAAGCAGGGACGAGGGGGCTGTTGCTGGTCCTTCCGCTGGGCTGTGCAGGCTGGGGAGGGGTGAACTGGGCACCGTGATGGCAGGGCTGGGACTGAGGACGCTCCAGGACCCGGCAGTTGTTTCCACTGAGGGGTTACGTTCTGCTGGGGATAGGACAGGTTGCCCGCTTCTGCCTGCCTTGTTGCGTGTTACAGCAAGGGACAGGACACTGGTGGTGCTGGTGGCCCTCGCTGGGGCAGATGGCATGGCTGTGGTGGCCGCAGTCACCGCGAATGTCTCCCTGCTGGCTGAGGTGGCTGGTGGGATGGCGTTGCTGGGGAACATGCTGGTGGCTGGCATGGTGGCTGGGCTCCTGCCAGCAGTGTTGGAGACAGGCACGTGGGTGCTGCTGGTGCTGGCTAGGGGTGCTGCACCCTCGGCACCGCTTTCAGAGGGGGTGGTGTCCCCCCGGGCGGTGGTAGCCCCGCCAGCATCTGACCGGGATACGGCTGTAGTCTCCCATGCGTGAGTGTGGCCAACAGCCAATGAGGAGACCCTGGCCATGGGCTCGTCCTCAGTGACCAGGCTGAGACCCATTGAGGCTGGGTCATGGGTGCTGTCGGTGGCCTCAGGGGATGGCCTCGGCGTCACACGGGGGCTGTGTGGAGTGGAGGCACTGCTGGGGACAACAGAGGGGGGTGTTGTGACCCTGTCAAGGCTGGCATCACCTGCTCCTGCTGCTGGACCAGTGATGGTGATGCTGGGGGTGACAGAGGGTGTCACCACCAGTGGATGGGTGTTCCTGGGGACAGGAGGGGACACAGTGACACCTGCTTCACTAGTGTTGTGAGTGAGGCCAGGGGAAGGTGCTATAACCAGCTCCGGAGCTGTGGGTGACACTGTGCCCATGATGGCCACTGCCACAGGGCTTTTGCTGCCCGGGGCAGAGTGTGCCAAGGGGGTGGCATCGCTGGCGCCTGGCTCGGCCGCCCCAGCCATGGCAGTGGACAGCCCCACAGCCCTGTTTCCCATGGTGGGAGAAACTGTGTCCATGTCCAAGTCCATGCCTTTGTCCATGCCCGTGGTGGGCTCAGCAGCGTGATAGCTGTGGTCCGATGCAGCCATGCTTGGCTGAGCAGTGACACTGGCTGTGGCAGGGGCTGACGGCGGTGGGGCTGTCCCCAGGGTGGTGTGACCGCTGTCGGGGGTACCTGTCGTGGCACTCGCCCTTGTGTTTTCAACCGGGGTTGAGCCCGGAGCTGCCTGCGTGGTGCTGCCATGTCCTGCCGGCTGGGACCTGTCCCTGCCTCCCTCCACGGCTGCATTTTCAGGGGGCGGTGGTGTCGTGGGCTGGGATGTCTTGCCAGTCGCGGTGCTGGGGAGGGGGCTAGCTGTGGCCAGCGCTGGGCTGGGGTTAGCCATGGCTGGCGGGGCTGAGCGACCGCCCCTGGGAGCCAGGAGAGGCAGATCTCCTGGGGGTCTGGTTTCAGGAGCATCGGTCCCTCGGGCAGGTGGCTCTCGTGATGGCCCGGCAGTGACAACTGCATGGCTGGGAGCTGGCCCCACTGCACTGGCACCTGGGTTCTCCTCTGTGGCCACCTTCAGGGACGTCATCCCCTCTGCTCGCCCTGCAGTGCTGTAATCGGGGTGGGGGTCACCTGAAGCACCCATTGCTGATTGTGAGGTAGCCAGAGACAGTGGGGACATGCCTGCTGACGTCTCTTGGGGGATGCTGGATGGGGACACCCCCAGAGCCATCCCTGCAGTGGCACTGCCTTCCAGGAGAGGGGGGGTACCTGCTTGCAATGCCACGGGGATGCTGGCTTCTCTGTGTAGTCCTGGCGTGCTTGGCACAGTTGTGCCCATGGCTGGCACAGGGCTGGGTGACCACGTCGCTGCCCCATGTTGGGGCCCAGCCCGGAGCGGTGGAGCTAGTGCAGGTCCAGGGATGACACCAGTTCCCAGGGGTGCTGAGCCCGCAGTGGGACCAGGCTGTCTGCGGCTGGGAGATGCATCAGGCACAGTTGGCATGGCTCCGGTGTCCCACAGCATTGTGGTGGCATTGTCACTGGCCAGCAATGCTGTTCCCACCCCTACTTCATTAATTGGAGTGTTGTTAATGAGGGAGAATGGCTTGGCAGCTGGCCCAGTCCTGATGCCATACACACCGAGGGAAGATGTTGGCGCAGCAGCGGCTCGAGGGGCCCCATCTGGCTTTGTTCCACCAGCACCCATGAGGGATAAGGATGTGGCCACACTGGGTCTGGCTGGAGGGGATCCACCTGCAGCCACCTCTGCCGTGGTGGCCCCAGAGCCTGCTGAGGGGGTCTGGGCGAGCAGAAACGCCGTGGAGTGCACAAAGGGTCCTGGAGAGGGACCACCAGGGTTGACAGGAGCTGTGTGTGGGGTCAGCCTCGTGCTGAGCCTCACTGGGGTGGCCTCAGTCTCTGGGAAAGTGGTGCCTGCCGTGGCTCTGGCACTGGGCTCACTCTTGACGGACACCAGCTCAGCACCTGTGCTTCCCAGAGCTGGGAATGACGTGGTGGGGACATGCTCTGCAGCGGTGACATCCATTGCCATAACTGGTGCGCCCGGAGCTAGTGCGGTGGCCTGGGGGTGGGTGACGGCGTTGGCTCCAGGCAGCCCATCTCCAGCAGTGCCAGGGGCCACGCTGTGGCTGGGGGAAAGCGTCTCTCCTGCGCCCGGCATGGCACCACCGGGGAGCCGGGGTGAAAGGGCTGGAGGCAGCTGAGCGGGTGGCACACTCCCTGTGTCCTGCGAGGCGTTGTGGTCGGCTTTGGATAAAGTACGTGTCCCTGGTTCTGTAGCCGCGCCGATGCCAATGGTGGCAGAAGAAAAGGTGACCTTTGCAAAGGATGCGCTTGGAGGGTCAGCAGACAGTGGGGCCGCCGTCCTGGCTTCCTCTGTGGCTGCACTAGGGGGACCCCTGGAGAGGCCAGTGGCAGGGCTGGCTGAGGCTGCTGCTGGCTTCAGGGGGCTGCCCGCATCCCATGAGATGCTGGCTGCTGTGGCCAGAGGTGAGGTGGCCTCATCCAGCCCTGGCATGACGTCCTGGGATGGGAGCATGGCAGTTGCATATGGCTCAGCAGAGCTCTTGCCGATGCTGGGAGGTGACGTCCCTGTGCTGTGCTCGTCCTGGGGGAGCGATGGCACTGTGGTCCACGCTGGCCCCAGCATCTTCTCCGCAGTGACAGCATCACCCAGCTGCACCACCTCATTGGTATCAGTCAATTTGCCAGTAACTGAGGAAGACGCTTTTGCCCCTGGCACTGGTTGAGCAGCCGGGATGTGTGCCACTGGTGGGGACAGACCTCCGCCTGGTGCTGGGGGGGCACCTTTCAATGCACCAGCAGCACCCATGGGTGGCTCAGCCACAGTCCCTTTGTGCATGGGGACAGTTGTTCCCAGGACTGGCTCTCCAGGGATGTTGTCTAGAGCCACTCTGGACACTTCCACAGCCCGCTTGGGAGCAGTGCTGCTGTTTGATGGTGGTTCGCTTGTCTCCATTACAGCAGGGACACCTGGAGCTGGGGATGATGTGGCTGTGGCTGGCCCCGCACCGCCACTGCCCATGACAAGACCCACTGTGTGTCCTGTTGGTGCAAGGGACAGAAGCTGCCTGTGCCAAGTGGTGGTGGGAGCTGGAGAGACGCTGGTCAGGTGGCTGGCAGCGCCTGGAGAGGAGACCCCAGCCCCTAGCCCTGCCTGGGGGCTGCCTCGCGTTGCCAGACCCCCGGGGAGAACTGCCACGCTGGGAGGCTCTCCCTGCTCACCACTGGTCCTGGCTGGGACCAGCGCTCTCGCTGTCACCTGTGGCACCAGGCTGCCTGCGGAGCAAGACAAGGCAGACCCAGCTGGATCAACCCCACCGTGGCCCCAGCAGGCAGGAACCTGCCTGCGGCCAGCTGGCTGCCAGCCTTACCTGAGCCGTGGCTGCCCACAGAGGTGGCGGTTCTGCCGGCAGGAGAGGGGTGCACCGGCTGGGTGGCCGTGGTGGTGGGGAATGCCTGGCACATGCCCAGGTCCGGAGGCAGCTTGGCACCGGTGCTGTCAGCCACAGGGGAGATGCTGCCCGGCTCTGCTGGGGCTGGTGTGGGGGCAAGGGGCTGCTCTCCCGTCTCCCCTGCTTGTGCTAGCAGCAGAGCAGGAAGGTGAGGGCAGGATGAGGAAAAAAAAGAGCCCAGGGTCCCCGTCACCCCCTTCTGTGGGAGGAAGATGCCCCTAGCCCTTGGGGCTGGTCCCAACCCCAGCACCCACAGCCGGACCAACACGAGAACAAGGCAGGCACCTTACCCATGGGCGAGAGTCCCTATTTGATCCAGAACCCCCTCCCTTCCCTCACCGGAGTTGGGGAACCATGCTGAGGCTGTGGCACCAGCAGGCAGAGACGGGGCAAACCCTGGCCGGGCACTCAGGCTCAAGCTTTCAGCATTCGAGCAGCCGGAGAATTGTTCGCAACCCGTCGCCCATCGCCTGTCACCCAGATGGTATCGGCCACCTGGTCAGCCCAGCAGCAGTGCGGGCGACCCCAGCGCTTACCTGGCAGCACCCAGAGCCCCCACAGCACCCAGGTCCAGAGCAGCCGCTGTCCCCGGCACCCCATGGTGCTTCCTCGGCGGCAGGGACAGGGCTGCAGCTCTCTCTGTCCCAGGGGAACGACGCAACAGGGTGGCTCCACCGGTGAGCACTCCCCCGGGTGGGGGGACTGGGACACCACGTGCCCTGCCTGGGGCACTGACGGCTCCATGTCCTCGCAGCCTGCCACGTCCCAGTCCTGGGGACCCACCGATGCTGGGGGACGCCCATTTTGCAACGGGAGGTTTTAAGGCCCTTCCCAGGGTGACCGACGGTTGACACCCCAAGGTTGGGGTCCCCAACCCCCAGGGAGCACCCGATGGGCTGCAAAGTCACCTGGCCCAAAAGCCCTGGGATGGCAAGCGAGGACAGGCATCCCCAGCACCTCTGGTGGTGATGGTGGGGTGTCATCCTGGGGCTCTGCACCCCCCATCCATCCCCCCATTTGCTGCCAGATCCCCGCCACGCTTGGCCGCGCGGCCGATAACCCCTGGCAGGGCTTGGCTCAACACCAAGGAGGAAGGAGCAGCCTCCCACTGCCGCCTCGGGGTCCCGCGCCTTAACCCGGCCCTGGCCCCACTCCTGGCACTGCCGGCACCGCCGCCCAGGGCCCTGCGTGCAGGGGTTATCTGTGCCATCGCGGCAAACGCCCACGCAAGCCTGGTTGTTGTTCTTGGGGGGTGTTGTTCCCACATGGGCGGCAGGACCTGGCCTTGCCCTGGGTTGCAGGTCACCTTCCACCGGGGACAGAGGGCAGGCGCGCCCGGCTGTGGAGAGATCCAGGGGGGCCACTGCAGCAAACACGTTTGCTTCTTCACAGGGCCTAGCCCAGCTCCAGAATCATTTAAGGGGGCAAATAAGTCATGGAAGGTGTTGTGCCTTCCTTGCTTGCATTGACAGCCATCCCACCCAGCTGCCATGCCATGGTAGCTGCACCTTAGATGGGGAAACTGAGGCACGGAGAGTCCCAAACACCTACGCATGGCAGTGCCCAGAGCAGCACCAGCAAACCTCCCCGTCCCCGCGCTCAGGGAAGGCCAGGGGACCAGAGATAAGCGGAGCTGTGGGTGCACATGGCACACAGGTGATGTGGCCAGGTACCATCTGCCACAGGGAGGGACTCACGGCCACGCTGAGGCAGTCCCTCCTGCCAGGCGACTCACCGTGCGTGACGGGGTCTCTCCTCTGAAGCCACCAGCTCTGGAGGAGAGGGCATCCTGGGGACCACCAATGCCCACGGAGCTGGTGGGTTTGGGCACAGAGGTCCTCCTCCACCTGCACGGACACCCCTTCCTGATGCCGCTGCAAGGTGGCACCTCAGGGAACCCAGCTAAGGAGCTCCGACACCCATTTGGGGGGGGTTAGTACTGCCACCTGGCCTGGGACCCCATGGGGGCCAGCCCCCCACCTCCCCCCCAGCACCTGGCTCCGGCTGCGCGGTGGCATCCAGTTGCACAACGCCCCTCGCGTGGGTGGGGGTGCGACGCAGGTCCCGCCACTCCCTGCCTGGGCATGAGTCAGGCGGCAGCCGGGAGCTGAGTCCCATGGGGCACCAGGGAAAGGGGGGGGACGACCCTGCCACAGGGGCATCACCCTGGGCCAAGCACTGCCCGCTCGGAAGGGGCAAAACCATACCCAGCCTTCAAGCTTTGGGCCTGGGGGTGGGACAGCATGTGACTAACTCCAGCAGCCCCAGATAGGGAGACCTTTGCACCCCAAAACAACCTGGGAGCCATCACCGGGCGGCGGGTTTATAGGTGCCTGTGTCATACAGCTCCCTAGGGATCCCCAGCGCCTGCTGGGCCCCACAGCACACGTGCATCCCCTCCCGGGCACCCTGCACCAGGCCCACAGCAGGTCCTGTGGGTCCCGGTCCCGGCTGCCTGCAGGGAGGAACCAGCACCCGTGGAGACATGGCCTGTCCCTGTGTGTTGGCAGGGAAGGACCTGGAGACAGCCACAAGCACCATCCTCCCCATAGAATATTTTTTTTTATATATATATAATATATATATTAAAATTACATTTCTCTTTACAAAAACAATTCAACAAGGCGCCAGGGGACGGAGCCCATTGCCAAAGCCAGGGTGCAGGCACCCCATGAAGTCTGGGGCGCTGAGCAGGCTCCCTTTTGGGGTGTCCCCAACCCCCAAACAGGGGCTCAGTCCAGAGTCCAGCAGCAGGTTGCCTGGGTGGGGGTGGGCACCGGGCAGGTGGCCCCATAGTGAGATGCCTGCTCTGGATCCGACGCAGCTCGCCCCATCCCCACTGTCACCGCCTGTAAGGAGAAGATGACATGAGCTCAGGAGGGGTGATGGTGCCAGCTGGCCAAGAGCAGTGTGGCATGGAGGAGCCCCCCTCCCCAAAAAACCCCCCATCCATTCCCCTACTTCTGGCGGGCGGTGCTGTAGGGATCAAGGAGGTGGCAGCTGGCCTGGGCCAGGTTCCAGTCAAACATCTCCAGCACCCGGTGGCACTCGACGCGGGACTTCAGCCCCAGGCAGAAGAGCTGCTCCACCTGCAAGGGGACAGGGCATGGCAAGGGGGGTGACAGGGGTGCCACCACTCTTGCGGGAGCCAGGACAGAGGGGATGGGGGTGTGCGGTACCTTCAGGTACTGGATGGCCCGTTGGACATTCCAGCCGTGGTTCTGCAGGGCTGCCTGGCACTCCTCAGTGGTCACGCCATGCACAGTGTCCTGCACCTGTGGGGAGCTTGTCGTCAGCGCCTGCCACCAGCCCCAGGCAGTGAGGAGGCTGTGGCTGGAGCAAGGGGGCACCGGGGCTGCCCCCCATCTCTAGGAAGCACCGTCAGGCTGGAGCTGGGACCATCCTCATCCCTGGGGTCTTCAGCCTCTCCTGGGCTTGGGTGCAGACTCCCGGCCACCACAGAACCAGCCCAGAGAGCCCAAGGGGACCGTAGTGACAGCCACCTTCCTCCCCTCCCTTCCTGGGGCTGTGGGTAGGGCTAATTTGGGTTAGAAGGGCCTGTGATCCCCATTTTGGAGTTGCAGTGACACTTATGTCCCACAGCCTTGTAGCTAACCCCCCCAGGGTTGAACTTGAGGAAACTGAGGCACAGGATAGGGATAGCTCTTGCCCAAGCAAGCCCACTGCCACCATATCCCCTCTTGCTCGCAGATGTTGGGGATGCCACTTACCAGCCGGATCTTGTCGGCGGGGCGGCAGCCATCCGGCCCATCGTAGACGATCTTCTGGAGGCTACAGGAGGCTTTCACCAGGCACTTGGGCCCAGGGTTGCTGTTGTTGGATGAGAAGTTGGCCTTGTAGTCTGGCAGCGGCTGCTGCACCATGGGACGGACGGTGGCTGTGGTGACCAAGCGGGACGCCGGCACCTCCTCGGGGCTTTTGGCCTCCTTGAAAAACTTCTCGTACTTGTCCAGGTAGGCAGGGCGCTCGGGCAGCAGGTAGTAGTGGGTGCTGCTGACCTTCTGCCCGTCCTTCACGATGGGCAGGATGCAGGGTCCCTTGGAGCAGTCCTTGCCCTGTGCCTGGATGACCTTGGGGGTGGCGTACTTGGGGTCAAGGGCAAAGCTCTGCGTGGTGGGCATGGGCTTCCCCGGTGAGGTGGAGAGGCAGGAGCAGAGGGCAGCGCGTTGCTGGGGGGAGCCCACCTGCAGGGCCATGGGGCTGGGCGTCCGGGAGCTGGGCTGCGACAGCGGGTCCCGGGGGGGAATCTGGGGCGGCCGGTCTTCCTCACCTCCTGAAGCTGGGGAAAGGTCCCCCGACCAGCGCCCGGGCTCGTTGCGGCGTAGGGGTCGGGGTGGGATGGGGACACGGGGGGGGATTTGAGGCTTGTCGTCGGTGGGGGCAGACGGTCCCAGGGGGACGTTAAGCCTCTTCATGCACTCCTGCTGCAGCTCCTCAAAGAGCTCAGTGGTCTGCGTCAGGCTGGGCTGCTTGGTCTCCTTGGGGGGCAGAAAGAGGTTGTCCTCCAGTGCTGGTCCCCGCTCACCCTCATCCACGAAGCCGTAGTTGGTCTTGCCCCGCCGGCTTGGGGGGCTGGTGATGGAGCAGACCTCAAAGTCGTCCTCATCCTGTGCCACGTCATCATAGGCGGGCGGTGGGGGCAAAGGGCGGGCATCCCAGTCCACCACCGGCGTGGGGTGGAGGGGCCGGGGTAGAGCCCGCGTGGGGCTCTGAGGCGGGGTCTTGTCCAGCAATGAGAAGGCCTCCATGGCCAGCTTGGCCAATGACGGGGCTGTCAGCTCCCCCACTGGCGATGGGCTACCTTGAGGCACCTCCTCCCCGAAATCGATGAGGGTCACCTCGCCACCCGCTGGTCCCTCGCTCGGCGGTTGGCCAGGTTGCCGCTCGCCCACCTTAGTGCCCGGTACCCGTGCCGACGGCTTGACCGGTCGGAGACCCTTCCCTGCACCTGGCTTCTTCAGGCAGAGCTTCCGGAGGCCACCTGGCAGACCCTCCTCCTCCTCGCTGACCGGGTCGTAGCAGGGCTCTAGGAGGGGATGGAAAGGGATGGTGAGGGTCCCAGTAGCCATCCTGGGGATGCAAAAGGGAGCAACTGCATCCCCAAGCCCCCAAATTGCCCCATAGCTTCAGCCACCTTTGCTCCCCCCTTAGATGCAGTGACACAACATCAGGGCATTGGGCAGGGTGCCGGGGGCCCTGGGGCGGGGAAGGGTCCCAGGCTGGCCACCCTGCTCCGTATCTGTGTCCCCACCACAGATACCATCACCCATAGGTGCATGTGGTACCCAGGCGGGCAGAAGAGGCGAAAGGAGCTAAGAGAGAAAAGAAGGGCGACACAAAGGAGAGCGAGCAGCACCCGAAAAAGCCTGACTTACTGGTGAGCAGGACGGTAGGCTGAGGCGGGCGCGGAGGCGGCTGCCCTGCAGGAGAAGAGAGAGCCCAAGAGGAGGGGAGGCGTGGGGTAAGCGCGCGGAGCAAGCGGCAGTCGGGGCGCTCATTAGCAAGTGCATGCTTCATCATGTCCCCCGTCACTGGTGGGGTGCGCGGAGGATGCCGGTGGCAAGCCCCCCAAGGGAAAT